CAACATCATTGAACTGAGATGGGATTCGAACCTGTGACCTCCTCCCATGGAGTACCACAGTGATGCCATCAGACTACAAGGTACTTGACACACTTAGTATATATACACATATATATTTTTATATATATACTAATTTATTTATTTATTTACATGTACACATGTATATTTATATTTACTAATTTATCTCTATACATATTTATAGTTTATTACTCCCTCCGTCCCATAAAATTCTTCCCACTTTCCTTTTTGGATCGTCCCAAAAAAAATCCACTTACCATTTTTGGACAATTTGTGTGGTTCACATTCATTTCACATTTTTCTTACACAGCCACAACCATACATTTCCACTTTATTCCACTTTTCTTAATCTCCGTGCCAAGTCAATGTAGGAAGAATTTTCTTGGACGGAGGGAGTATATTTAAATTTCAGTTTTTAGTTCTTAACAACTAGCCCAACCAATAGAATAATTATTATTGTACTTAAAGATAATACTTCGTGCTTGAGTTTTAAATTTTAGATATAGTTTCTCTGTATTATTTTTGTGTAAGTTTTTTTGTGTGTGTATGCGGTGAAAGACCTATAAACATTACTAGAGTATAAGTGTATTAGCAATTTTTTAAATGTCATAATATTACTTATAAAGGATTAAAAAAATATACTACATATAATTTTGAAATTTTTAAATTTTTCCCGGGCTAGGCGGCCCGGTGGGCTACCCGGCCCGCTCCTACATGCGGGTACGCGCATGGGGTTAGGCCCGTTTTTGTGTGCCGGGGTGGGCCCGCCCACACATGATGGGCAAAAAAATTATACAAAGTCCAGCCCGAACACGCGTTTTTGTGCAGGTCTAGGCGCCACTACCCTCTTATGATAACGGAGTTCAAACACATTAACAACTTTGATAAAAAAAAATGAAATATATGACCTTACTTGAAAACACGATTAACCACATGTACATTTACTGTAGTTTTTCCAGAAATTAATCCATAATACATTAATAAATAAAATATGATCAAAGTAGAGCATATAAATAATGTAAAATTAATCAATATTGTAACTATGTACCTGCACCAACTCAGCATGTACGTACTTCTCAGCTATAAGACTCGATCTCTTTATTACGGAGTAGTAATTTGAGTTTTTTTTAATATTACTATGTATTAGAATAAAACTTATATACGAAAAATATGAGTAGAAGTTACTCCGTATTAAAGTATATATATATATATATATATATATATATATATATATATATATATATATATATATAGGGAGTGGTTCTAATGAGAACAACCCTTATTGTGAGAAATGAGAACACATCTTAACCCATCATCTCATTAAATGAATGACTAATAAGTATTTGGTTCACAATACAAAGATGGACATCATCACACAGTATTATATATAGTACAAACTAAAATGGGGCGTACACCTAATAAATGATAATAGTGTAATTTTAAAAAAGAAATCAATTAATGTTGTAACGGGTGGGAGGCCGTCACTTTCCAAAAAAATAGGTAACAATTAAAACTCAAATCATATAAAATGTTTTTAGTTTAAAATTGATTTATCCTTTTAAATTATAATCCAATTTTATCAAAAATTATATCAAATTTAATGGTTTTTTATTATCTTTCATATGACACCAATATTGCATATATAATTTTTTATTTGAAAAAAAGTATAATATGTATATAATAAACCACACCAAGCATCTCTAGCTATCGTACACACTAGAACTTGTAACTAATGCACAACAACAAATATCTAATGCACATGAAAAGTAACATATCACACATAGTTTGTATATAAAGCACCATTACAAATATCTCAATCACAAAAAGCAGTATCTAACGCACAACAATTAATAAGTAATATTGAACATAAGATTTCATATAATTTAAATTATATAATACACATGAATTAGTATCTACGGCACAATATGTATATATGTTAGAGAACTCGTATGTAGCACATAATATGGACATAGAAAATCACAACAAATACATCATATCATGCACAAGAACCGGTATCAAAAGCACAACCCCAAAAGGTGCATTTGAGTGACACAATAGTGCAATAGTGAATTGTACGGATGCATATGAGTAAATAAAATATGCAAATGTTAAGACGTAAAGTATGTTTAACGTATGAAAACCATAAATGTGCAACTGATAGTAATTCGTTGTGCAGAAAGTGAAAAAACAAGTATACATCACTATTTGATAATTGCATTTGAGAAATATAAAATTGATGCATTAGCTAGTGATTAAGAAAACAAACACCAATATGGAAAAATAAATACGAGTGACAACCATTTTCTTTTCTTTTATCGTGTATGAACTAACAATATTTACATTCCAAGAATACAAAAATTTCTATAAATGGAGAAGAGAATTAAAGTAAAAAATAAACTACAATTCCAAGGGATATGGAACTTACTCGTTCCTTTCCTCAATTGAAATGCAGGTATTAAATGCAATGTCAGTTACACAAGAAAACGGCAAAAGAATGTTACAAAATTGCCCTTGATGAATGATTTGATCATCTCAACATAATTTATTATTTGGATGGCTCAGATGTGTTCTCATGTTCTCACGTTAAGACTCGTTCTCATTTGAACCAAAATCTATCTATCTATCTATATATATATATATATATATATATATATATATATATATATATATATATATATATATAGATTTAGGTTCATGTGAGAACTTAATCTTAGGAGAGGAAAAAAGAATAGATCTTAACCATTAGATCAACCCATTAATAGAGATGATCTCGTATTGGATGTGAGGGTGATTTTGTGATTTCATGCTATTTAGCTTTTTCCAACGTGCATAGCATCCTAAAATTTCTCCCCATTTCTTGGTTACATTTAATGAACTTCCTTTACGGTTATAACTCTCCTGCCTTATATTCTCTCTATTCCGCATTAATGCTTTTTAGGGAGGTTACTTCATTAACTTCCTTTGTGTTTTTCTTTTCTACATTTTCTTTTACGTTTATGACTTTAATCCCAGGTGTACATATGGTTTTAAGTGTATCCTCTCTTGGCACCAACTCAAGTACTCAACGAACATTTAGTATATTCTAACTTTGTTTTTCTTATGATTTTTAAAATAAAAAATTTCATGTTTAATAAATGCCATACATACTAGTGCACTATAATATTGGGTTCGATACACTTTATAAAAACTAAAGCACTCAAAGTCATGAAAAACTATACCAAACATGTTGCACTTTGAATTAGTTAGGGATGCATTATATCTTCAATTTTTAAATTGCACTTTTACTTATTAAAAGTGCACACATATATACAGTGCACTTATCAATCGTTTCTTCACTCTATTGTAAATAACTCCACGGTGCACCGTACCATTTTAACTTAAATTATATGCATACCTCAGATATTATTTATTTTTTATTTACTAAAGGCCATGAATTTCAAAGAGGTCAAATGTGAAAAAGGGATTGGTTGGAACGACATATACTTAAATAACTCTATAAAGTGCATTTTGAATTTACTCGGGTGCATAAAGTTTTATCAACAATGCATAATTAGTATTTCAATATCATTTGCATTTCTAATTATCTTTATTAATTGCACATTACAATAATTTCATTCATGCAGCTAAAATCCTACAAATTGCACTAAAAACATTATTTCATGCACTAGAATCTGGCCCACTTTCTTTTTGACACACATGCACTCTTGACACATTAACATTGCACTTTATAAAAAGTGATAAGTACAAATAACAATCATGTTGTAACATACATAATTGTAAATACATACGTGAATATATAAATTTTATTAAAATTGCTCCACTGAACACATTATTTAATGCACTTGATGTTATATGTTTCTCAAAAATTGCATACACAGTATCTAATATAATAGAGGAATGCTTCTAAATATAAATAATGATTTACACTTTACAATTTATTGAATAATGCAATATCATGATTGCACCTTTCAATTTTGGCCGTGGCGGAATTATAGGGATGTTGGTTTAGGCTCGATGCTAATGGATAATCAAAGCATTATCAATTTACAAAAAAGACCTCCGCAATAAATGTTGATTGAACAATACGTCTTCACTTTTAATGATTTCCTAATACACTTGATTATTAAGTCATACGAGCATTTTCTATAGCCATCCGATTGAATGAATAAAAGGCTAGATTTCATTCTTTTTTCCTCTCCTAAGAGGGTGTTCTCACGGGAACTAACCCCTATATATATATATATATATATATTGTCATAGTGATTTAATTTTAGGATAAAAATTGAACATACATTCCAATGACTAAAGTTAGTTACTACTCCGTATATAGCAAACACTTAAAATGTCACGTTTTTGTAACAATTTTTATTTTAATATATACTTCATTCGTCCCAAATTGTTTTGCAAAGTCAACATTTTGGTCAATCAATAATAAAAGTCAATCCTCTCTATTGATAATTAATCCAACTTTTAATAATTAAAATTTACATATTCAGAAACTACATTGAAATCTCTTCATAGCTTCAAATTCCAAATTAAAATATAATTAAAAATTGACATTCTAATTAAATAAATAAAAGGAAACTGTTTGACCTAGAAAAGTCAAATCTGCAAATCAATTTGAGAAGGAAGTAGTATGTAATTGTTTTTAGTTATTTGTCACATTCTTTTTATTAAAGGATGAGGATATATTCTTTCTTTAACTTATGGGATCTATCCACCAAATCTTTCACTCCTAATACGTTTGATTTTCTTAATACATAAATTTGATTCGTGTATATATGCATAAGCGAGCTTTATTCCCTTTTTCCTAAACAAATATTTAAAAAATAAAACAAGTTTATTAAAAAAAAATGGGCGATTGTAATACTGTATACGTAAAACACGTCAAAAATATAAAAGTAAAGGGCTTAAACAAAGAAATAGAACAAGATTAATTAATACGTAGTAAGAGAATATACGGAGCAGTCCGTAATACGTAGAAACAAACGACTCCACGTTCGCTCCAACTAACACATACTTTCTCTCTCCTCCAAATCGTTGAAATGGGATTGACCAAAGCCAAAAGGCAGAGCCACTTTCCAACTCTCTTAACGTGGGCAAACAGAAACACTGGACGCTTCTCCTTCTTCTTTCCCCTCTCTGAATTTCAACCATTCTGTCCTCTTTACTCGGGATTCACATAAACACTGTGATTTTCACTCACCTCTCAGTTTAAGCTGCAAAGTTTCTCTTCAGAGTTGCTTCATTTGGGATCTAAAACCGTCAGAAATGCAGTTACACCATCGGTTTCGTGCATATGATCGATTGCGAGGTTCGAAATGTCAAACTCATAGGCTCCTGCTAGTTCAGGAATCCTTGTTGTAAGCATTTATAGAGACGGCAATGTTACCTGCAAATGCTTCAAGGTACTCCGTCCGTGATTCTGATTTGTAGTAGAACTTGATTTTGTTTGTCCAGTTATTTGCTGCTTTTTCTTATGTGCTTATTTACAGAGTGTTGTTATTGCAGATCTGAGCGTTGTGTAGCGCATGTTCCTTTGTGCTTTTTAAGTTTGATTAGAACTCGGTGGAACTGATCATGTTGAGAAGTTTCGACGCTTAGTTTCGAGTGAATGTCTGAATGAGTGATAATATCTATGCAGCAACTTGATTGTAATGAAGTAGAACTGCTGGTTTTGGATTGTTAAGCAGGGCTCTATGTTTTAATGACATTTATTACATTCAGCTAAGCCTGTCCTGTATTCAATGAAATTCTCCTAGTCCCCATATTTCAATGTTCACACTTCCAAACTATGCTTCTTAGTAAGTCATTTCAGTAAGGGGAAAAAAGAGACTAATAAAAATTTGTCGGTTGTCCTGTTTGGTTGTAAGTAGGCTTCAATGGATAAACTATAAAACTGTAAGAAACTCTACTGCTAGATTCTTTTGAAAAGTGATTTTCTATCGAGATGAATATCCTACCATTTATGTCGAGGAAGTCATATGTCACCGCTAGATTTTATTTAATTGCCTAGGACCCACTCAACACATTATGACGGTAGTTGTCTAATGGTGTCACATAACACCTCTACTCCTCTATCCATGTGTGGATGATGGTTTTCTCCATAAGTCCATCGCAATGTTCTACATGTTTATAAGTTAGTGTCTATTCTGAATTTCTAATAGGTCATGTGTCCTGTAAAAGACCTCTACTCCTCTTCATTCTCTTTCTCCCCTTTAAAAAAACAAGCGCTTTGTGATGCTTTGGTGTACAATTGATGTGGTAAATAGAGTGATTTTTGTTTCTTGAACTTTGCAGACTTGTGGACATTTAATTTCATTTCCATATTTTTTTGAACTTCTTAAATCTAAAGTGTTCTGCTTTCATTTCATTTGTGTAATCTCCATCCCTCCATACTCTTGCAGGAAAATCTCAGGACATTGCTTTCTTATGACAAGAAGTGTGGACATGAAAATCTTCTCCATTTTCCACTGCTTTTGCTCCCTTTTCATTCTAGCAACACTTGTTTCCCATACTCTTGGTGATTTGAACTCAGATGAACAAGCCCTTCTTGCCTTTATAAATTCTGTCCCCCATGATCGCGGGATCAACTGGAATCCAGCTATCCCCCTATGTTCCTCTTGGGTAGGCATTAAATGTAGTAGAGGTGTGGGTCCACGTGTGGTTTCTGTTCGACTTCCGGGAATTGGACTCAGTGGTCCAATTCCCGAAAAGACCCTTGGAAGGCTGGATGCCTTGATGATTCTCAGTCTTCGAGCTAATTATCTAAATGGAAGTCTTCCTTCAGACCTCACTTCCCTTTCATCACTTCGTTATCTTTTCCTTCAAAATAACAACTTTTCCGGTCATATCCCAACTGTTTTACCCCAAAAAATAATCGTTTTGGATCTTTCATATAATTCATTCACTGGTGAAATTCCCAATCTGATGCTCCCAAGATTGAAACATTTGAATCTAAGTCACAATTTTCTTAATGGTTATATCCCACCATCCCTTCAAAACTTCCCAAATTCTGCTTTTGTGGCCAACTCATTGTTGTGTGGGTTACCTTTAATTCCTTGTTCCCCTCTTGAGACAGAAGCGAGAAAAACGCACAGCCCTAAGAAAAGGCTCAAGTTGGGAGTTATAATTGCCATTGCAGCTAGTGGGGCAGTGCTACTCATTATAGTTGCTTTATCCATTCTCTTTTGCTGCCTGGAGAAAAGAGAGAGTAATACTATACGTTCCCTCAAAGGAAAGCCTCCTAACAGAGGAAGGGGTGATAAACCAAGGGAGGAATTTGGCAGTGGGGTGCAGGAAGCAGAGAAAAACAAGTTGTTTTTCTTTGAAGGATGTTCATACAACTTTGATCTTGAGGACTTACTAAGGGCTTCAGCCGAAGTGATGGGAAAGGGGAGCTCTGGGACGACATACAAGGCTATTCTGGAGGAGTCAACAACAGTGATTGTTAAGAGGCTGAAAGACGTCATACTGGGGAAGAGGGAGTTTGAACAACAGATGGAAGTTGTTGGCAGGGTTGGACAACAGCACCCTAATGTGGTGCCTTTGCGTGCATATTATTATTCCAAGGATGAGAAACTTCTAGTCTATGACCATTTCACAAGAGGCAGTTTGTCAACGCTTCTCCATGGTATGTGCACTCTTTGATTCTTACCTCCTCCTCAGTAAAACACTCATACACTAACATTGAAAAACTCCTTTGGAATGGGAAAATCGGGTTAAGATACTTTTTCAATGGTTTGAATTACCTTTAGATATAGACTTGTGAATCCAAATCGTATCAGGAGCCTTCATTATATTCATTATATGATATGACAAGTATATATTAGCAATGATATACTTGTATTACATAATAATCTCTGTTTAAAGAATGCCATTGAGACCAAACTTATTAAAGGTGTTTCAGTATTAAAGTTTCCCACAGTCAAAACTCAAAAGTATGGACTTTATAACAACTAAACCAATAAGAACTCCCTTATAGAGTTATAGATATGTAGAAGAAACAACATGTCAATAACACTTGAGATTGGTTGAGATAATGGGTTGTGAACATATATTTTTTTAATTATGCAATTGATTTTGTTTACAGAACATATAAAAGAATTTGTCAAACCATGGATCTTTTAAACTTTTTTGGGCTGGGATGTTGCTAGTTGTTGTAAATATAAAAGAATTGGACTGTTATACCAGACCTAGAATTTGAGCAGTTCTTGCAGATTACAATTTACAAATGAATTTTTTTATAATTAAGTACCAATGATAAGTTGGGATATATTTCATCCATCTTTCCACCTTCTTTATACAGGAAGCCCGGCAATGGAAAGAACTCATTTGGACTGGGAAAGTCGAGTTAAGATAGCACTATCTGCAGCGAAGGGGATTTCACACATCCATCATAGTGGTGGTGCCAAATTCACTCATGGAAATATAAAGTCCTCAAATATACTTCTTAACCAGGATTTCGACGCTTGTGTCACTGATTTTGGTCTGTCTTCTGTCATTAACTTCTCTGGACCTCCTAAGCAACCTGGATACCGGGCCCCAGAGGTGATTGAAACTCGTAAGCACACGCACAAATCAGATGTTTACAGCTTCGGAGTCTTACTGCTAGAAATGCTTACTGGAAAGCTTCCAATTCAATCACCCGGGCGTGATGACGTGGTAGATCTTCCAAGGTGGGTCCAGTCGGTGGTCAGAGAAGAATGGACTGCCGAAGTGTTCGATGTGGACTTGATGAAATTTCAGAATGTGGAAGAAGAGATGGTTCAGATGCTGCAGATTGCTATGGCGTGTGTGGTGAGGGTTCCTGATATGAGACCTGACATGGATGAAGTTGTTAGGATGATTGAAGAGGTCCGAAACTCAGGCGCTGAAAATAGGCTGTCTTTGGAAGAAATCAAACTTAAGGATTCAAATGTGAAGACCCCTTGATGATTCGCTACCTTGTGAGTTTCTGGGAATTTATTTATAGTTCTAATAGATGGATGCATGGTTTTCAATGTGGAGAGGGGTTCAATTACCAATATACTTCGTATATGTTTTTCCTTTTGTTCATTACAAAAGAATTCACGCTCAATTTGTTTCATCATTTGTTGTTCAAGTTCATTATAGTGTGAATCATCAAATGCTATACGTTCTTTTGAAAAGTTTAAAAGGTCAGATAAACCATCAAACTAACTTAAAAAGTGCAAATCATCTCTTATATAGGAGATTATGTCCAGCCGTCGCCAATGGTTCCCGCTGAAATATTTTGATAAAAAAAATTGAGCATCTTTTTCATTAAGTTTAGTTTATTCATACCAAATTTCAGCAAAAAATTAAATCGGGAAGGCAGTCAAATGAATTTTTGAAGATAACTGCACAGTTAAATAGCACAGTGCATTTCAGAAAATCATTTGATTGTCTTCCCGTGAATTTTTAGATGAAATTTGGTATGAGTAAACTAGACTTAATGAAGATGATGCTCAAAAGATTTCATCGAAAAAATTCACTAGGAACCATCCCAATTGGCGACGGCCGAACAAAGTCTCCTATATAAGGGGTGACCTGCAATTTTTAAGTTATTTCGAGGGCCTATTTGACCCTTTAGCTTTTTGAAAAATAAATAATTTTATTACTCATCAAATCTGAACACATGAACAATACAATCAGGGGATGAAGACCTCAGATACCATCAGACCCAGAACAGGCTTCCCTAACAAGAGTGTGGGCAATCTGATTCGCTGATCGGTGCACATGCTAGACATTTACATTAACAATATTCGTTATCATATGTCTAATATTTTTAAAAGTAACATCATGGTAGTGTAAGCCCTCCTCGCGAACAAGACCTTGAACAATTTGCTAAGCATCAGACTCTAATTAGATTTTGCCGTCCGGGGTCAACAGCCCACCTAGCCGTCTCTTCAATCGCCATCGCTTCCATGGTGCTGGACGAAAATTGTCCTCACAATGCGACGCTTTTTGCTGCGATCATTTCATAATCATGCCTCAAAAATTGCTTGAATGGAGTATTTGTTGAGATCATCTCATAATCACGCTCACTCAAAGTGCGAGAACAGGAGATCATTTTCTGCACAAAACGTATAGCATTTGATAGTTCAATATTTTCTTTTCTGAAAAAAATTACAAATGTCCTCTTTTACATTACCTGAGTAAAGCAAAACATTAGAATTTCCGGCAAGGCTATGGGGATTATGAACAGTTTCATCAGTGACATCTTCGAGAAGCTCGCTCAAGATTACAACAACAAGCCAACGATTTCCACTAGGGAGATCCAGGGAGCTGCGAGACTTGTTCTTCTTGGTAAATTGGCCAAAAATACCTCCAGATATAACCGCATTCCCAAAAAATCCAAACTTTATTACTAACGGAACACATAACATCGGAGAAGCCAAGATCCATTTTGTAATTATCTGCTTAGTTTATTAGATATAAAAGTAACAACTTTTAGTTTCTCAGTTAGCCGGTTATAGTTTGTTATAGCTAGTTAGTTATTTTTGTAATATAAGTACATGAGCTGAATGTAAATCAAACAAATCAATACAATTCATTTCTCTTTTCGATTTCATTTTGCTAAGATGGTATTAGAGAATCAAAAGCATCTTTCTGATCACCGCTTCATTTTTCCCTAAATTCTTCCTTTCTTCTTCTTCAAAAATGGCTAACGGAAATCAGTTGTCTGATCATTTAGTTAATCCGGCAAATCTGTTATTCCTACATCCAAAAGAGGATCCAACTTTCATCCTGGTTTCACCATTGCTTGCTGAAAACAATTTTCAACAGTGGAAGCATGATATGCTCGTCGCACTTGAAACTAAGAACAAGGATCAGTTTGTTCTTGGTACTCTTTCATGTCCAAAATCTGAAGATCCTTTGTATGAAGCTTGGCGTCGCTGCACTAAAATGGTTATATCATGGCTCACTCGCTACATGACATCTTCTATTCGTCAATCAGTGATGTGGATCGACTCAGCCTCAGAAATGTGAAAGGATTTTTGTGATCGTTTTTCTCATGGTGATAAATTTTGTATTGTTGATCTGCAAGAACAAATTCAAAAATGTAAGCAAGATGATCTTACTGTATCTCATTATTTCACTCAATTACAAATTCTATGGAAGGAATTATCCATATATCGTGTTGTTCTTTGATAGGAGCCTCCAGAAAATATACAGAAAGATCAAGAAACAAAATAGAAAACTGTATTGATGAAGAAGATGAAACAATATCGGTAACAAAGGCCGAAGCCTCCCAATGAGCCGAAGCCCCCCCAAGAACGAGAATTAGCTCTCGCTCACCCAAGTCCCAGTCTGAAACGTCTAAACAGCCTCCTCCCTAATTTCCCCTTCCCGACTATTTATACTATACAATACCTCAAGTACCCTTATTACTAATATTCTTATTAATACTTCTATTATTAGTCTAATTTAAGAGGGTTCCTATCAATACTCCCCCCCTAAACATCCACCTTGCCCTCAAGGTGGGTTATATGACACAGCCACAATCTTCTGCTTCCTCTTCCTCTTCCTAGCGCTTCTACCTTCCCAATATCTAACTGATTTCTGAAAAAGGAGCCTCCATACTTGATTCTTCCACTGCACAGACTTTACTGCAGCATATAGTATCTTTGATGAATTTTCATTTTCTTCCTTAGTCTTCAGACCCTCAACAGCTACGCATATTTCCTTGTTTTCCTGAGGTGTATCACCTACACCATTAGCAAAACTTCCAGCAGTAGAAGAGATTCGAAGTGATGTTTCCCTCGGTTCAGACACTATCCAGCAGCCCTTAGCAAAATTTACTTCTTCAGTTTCTTTCACCATTGGAGTACCTCTCCATTTCCATAATTCCTGCTTCTTACTTTGGATAATTTTCCTGTTATTAGGATCACCAGAAACTTCTCTAACAATTTTGATGTCATCAATTGACAAGGATTTCACCCCTGTAGTCCTAATAGCTAGAATTTGCTGATAAGTCTTTGGGGTCAACCTCTGTAAAAACCTTGTGAAGGATTCATAAACCCCAGGAAGTAATAGGTTATGAGTTGTCATTGCAGAAATATCTCCCAACAATAGATAACCTTCATGTACTCTAAATGAATTATGTAAGTCAGGCTTGAGATAGTCTAACATGCTCTCAACCCCTGGCTGTAATTCAGCTTGTTGTAATTCGAGGTGTTGTCCATGGTTATACTTATCAGCAGCATTAATCTGTGTACGGTTTCCCTGGATGATAGCAATTTCACCTGAAACAAGCCCAACCTCCTTCTCCCGAGCCTCTGTACCAGATTTATTTTTACCAACACATAATTTTTCTGATAACCTTTCCTTAGGTTGTAAACATAGTTGACTTTTGACAAGAACAGTTTCAGAAACAATTAGGGCTCTATTTCCAAAGGAACATGGCTGAATAAGCTTGTCAGCAATAGAAACTTGGTTGGAAGTTAAATCCACACCCTCTGCAAGATTAGAATAAACATAATCTGGCCCGTGAATATCCTGTCTTTTCTCCTTGATTTCGTCTTTCTTATTCACTTGTTTGATCACAAGTTCAGTTGGTTCCATCTGGGTCTTCTTTGTTGACTTGGAAATTTCTGGCGCTGATTGATAAACTTGTGAACGAGAAGTTCTTGATGACCTCGATGACTCCTGTTTTCGCTGCCTGCTTAACGATGATTTCTGCAAACTGAATGAAGAGGTTCTAGAGTGCGGACTGGAAGAAGTTCTTCGTGCCCTCGAGGATTCCTTCCTTTCTGCCCTTCCTGTCTTCTGCCGGTGTTTAGGTGGAAAATCCTTAACTAAATCTTCCTTTAGAGCCTCCCAACTATCTTCTCTCTTTTGAAAATTCCACCATTGAAACCAGTCATCTGCAGCTTCCCCCATTGCCTTGGCTGCGACGTCCACCTTAAATCTTTCTGCTATAACTTGGACTCGGAAATATCTTTCCATCTTCTCTATCCATTCATAAGCTTCCTCCTCGTAGAATAGAGGTAATTTCTCCTTCTTTGAACTATCCGAATTTCGAGAAGTGACTTTAGATGAAGAATGTGAACTGTGAGAATCCTTTGAGGAAATCTGATGCAGAGAGCGATGAAAAGAATGATGAGAAGAACTCTGCGAAGAGCGCTGTGAAGAGCTTGGCGAGGAAACAGTTCGATCGCAAGATTTTCTGCGATGCCTCACATCTTCGGATTCCTCTGGACTTGCTGAGTGCCGCGATTGATGGTTGTGAGAAGGACGATGCGATGCAGATGAGCGAGGTGATGCAGCTGAGGTGTGCGATCTACTTCTTGATCGATCTGTCTTTCGCGAACTATGATGAGGGTCGCGATGCGACCTACGCGAAGTGTGCGATCGATTTGGCGATCGTCTTTGAAGCTTGTTAATCATATCCGCGAAGCTAGCCTGCATATCTGCCATCATCGTTTTTAACCTAGCGTTTGTCTCCTTCATCATTCTGTCCATATTATCAAAACTTTTTTCCATCTGGGGTGTCATGTCGAAATCCTCCATGATTCAGATCTTCTTCTCTAGGAAGTAACAGCTCTGATACCAATGATAGGAGCCTCCAGAAAATATACAGAAAGATCAAGAAACAAAATAGAAAACTGTATTGATGAAGAAGATGAAACAATATCGGTAACAAAGGCCGAAGCCTCCCAATGAGCCGAAGCCCCCCCAAGAACGAGAATTAGCTCTCGCTCACCCAAGTCCCAGTCTGAAACGTCTAAACAGCCTCCTCCCTAATTTCCCCTTCCCGACTATTTATACTATACAATACCTCAAGTACCCTTATTACTAATATTCTTATTAATACTTCTATTATTAGTCTAATTTAAGAGGGTTCCTATCATTCTTACTTGTTCTTGTAATCTGAAATGCAATTGTGAAATTCTCAAGAAAATTCAGAAGGAAAGAGATGATGATTGTGTTATTAAGTTTTTAAGAGGTCTTAATTATGTTTTTTTCTCAAGTTCGTTCGCAAGTAATGTTGATTGAACCAATGCCAAGCCTCTCTCGATCATTCTCTTTGGTTCTGCAGCAAGAATGTGAGTTTGGAGGAAATATTTCTGCTATACCTCAAGA